TTACTAAATATATATTTTATTGTTTCTAAAAGAAGTACGATAGTTGGGTTTGAGCATAACTCGTTGCATGCTAAATAAAGACAATTTTCAAGACTACATGATCTGAAGTCCCAGTTTATCTTTATTTAGCTCCAAACTCTTAGATTTTTGGAATTAACCTGATTTAGTAAATTGATAGATTTAAATATCCTACGAAACTTCTTATCATGTCCCCACCTTTTTCAAATTATTAAAATTATTTATATTAATTAAATAAAATCTATTACTGAAAGGTTTAAATTAATTTTATATTCATAAAATTAATCATTTTTGAGATTCTCAACAAATTACAATTCAATAAAAAACTTAAATTACGTCGAGCTCGAGTGGCTTAAAGCAGGCACGCCCAGGATGCAACACTTCCATGCTAAGAAGAGCTAACACAAGTGCGCTAGCATCGCGACTTGGGTGCACCGGCCTCTCGGGTTGGGTGCACCAACCTCTCATAAGATTGATTGTCTTTGAAGAAAAATGTTATCTTATAAGATTGATTGTGTGTGTTTTAAAATTAATATCTTGATAATGATAATAGTTATTTTAATATTTTTATTTTTGATTTTGATTGGTGTGTTACTCACTGTTGAATTAGAAGTCACTTCTAAAAGTAATATTTGAGCTTATGTATTTTTTGAGGATTTTGAATGTAATTTCTGTTTTTATGTATGAGATATTCAATACAGACCAATTATCTATTAAACAATACAACCATACAAGGGCAAAAATATCATTTTTTCATCAGTAACTACAACATGCTTGCTGCATTTTGTTGCAGAATTGTACCAAAAATATTGACACGCAGCTTTCCCGTAGCATCCGTCTCATACAAACATTACATCTCCTACCAAAATCTACAGAATGTTCTTTTGAAAAACATTAAATTTCTTTCCCGTAGCATCTTTCTCATAGAAACATTACAGCTCTTACCATAATCTACAGAATGTTCTTTTGAAAAACATTAAATTTATCTTCGTCGTACTTTATCACATAGTTTGACAAAATTATATCTTTTGTTGCGATACATGACCCTTCTTCACTGATGGTGAAACCTCGGCTATACCGCCAGTGGGCTTTTCTTTCATTTCTACGAAAGATCTCATCTTGATCATATCCAACACCTAAATTTACATGCTTACCATCGAATTTCTATGTATTATCATTTCCAACACCTAAATTTTATTTTTTACATTTTTTATTTTTTACATTTTTATACTACTTACATTTTTATACTACCTAAACTCTTTTATATGAAATTAAAAATACAACAAATTTATAAATTTATAAAGTGAAATATATGCTCTCATCCATACATAACATGTGCATATAAAAAAAATCAATGTTTGGGTGTTAGACATATAAATATATAGAATTTCAGTGTTTTTTATGCAATTATCGTACTAAATATATATTTTATTGTTTCTAAAAGAAGTTGTATGGTAGCAGCATAACTTGTTGGATGCTAAATATAGACCATTTTCAAGACTACATTATATGAACTCCCACTTTATCTTTATTTAGCTGTAAACTCCTAGATTTTTGGAATTGACACGATTTAGCAAATTGATGGATTTAGATATCCTACGAAACTTTTTATCATGTCCCCAACCTATTCAAATTAATAAAATAATTTATATTAATTAAATAAAATATATTACTGAAAGCTTTAAATTAATTTTATATTCATAGAATTAATCATTTTTTAGATTCTCAACGAATTACAGTTCAATACAAAACTTGAATTGCATCGAGCTCGAGTGGCTTAAAGAGGGCACGCCCAGGATGCAACACTGTCATGCTAAGAAGAGCTAACACAAGTGCGCTAGCAACGCGACTTGGGTGCACCGGCCTCTTATAGAACTTACCCAAACAAAATTAATTCCGTGAAATTAAACTTTTTTAAAATAATTAGTTGATAATTCTTATTAATTAATATAGATAATATCATGAGCCGATCACGAGTTGTTTGTGAACAAAAAACCATTTAGACAACTCTAGTCTTGCATGTAGCCATTAGGGGTGTAAGCGAGTTGAGCTTGATCGATTCTAGACTCGGCTTGGTACAAAATATCATTGTTTGTGTTTGCTCCTTTATATATCGAGTTCAAAAATTTGTTTGTGTTTGACTCGCTTGCTAATCGAGCCGAACATGAGCTATTCACGAATAATAAATTATTTTGACAACATTGATCATACAGTCGTAGGATGTTAATGGTAAAGCGAGATTTAAATCTTGTTATTTATATTAAGATATTCATTTGAATAAAATTTAATATATTTTTATTCTATTTTTTGTTAGTAATTTTAATTCATAATTTGTTGCAGTCAATTAAATTATTAAAAATTAACACTTATTATATATAATTATTTTGAGCCGAACACGAACGAACAAAATTTTATCCATGATCAACTCGTTTATATATTAAGGGTAGGGCGAGATTTAAATCTTGTTATTTATATTAAAAGAAATGAATAGAAATTAATATTTTTTTTTTTAATTAATAATTTTAATGGATTATAAATCTTTGTACTATATATATATATATATATGCGCACATACCCCGACTCATTGGTGTCAGCTTCGACGTACCTGACGAGAGCCTGACCAAAGTGGTTGACCGTCGATCAACGTTTACTTATATATATCGAACCCGTGACCAGAGGGGACTTACAGTGAACCCAGCTAACCAACAAGCCACGACTTGAGACACACACACACACACACACACACACACACACACACATATATAATTATTGTAAGCCAAAACGAGCCGAAAAAGAACGAGCACAATTTTTTACGTGTTCGGTTCATCTATATATCAAGCGCAAAAAAAGTGAACCCAGCTAACCAACAAGCCACGACTCGAGACACACACACACACACACATATAATTATTGTAAGTCAAAACAAGCCGAAAAAGAACCAGCACAATTTTTTACGTGTTCGGTTCGTCTATATATCAAGCACAAAAAAAATATTTGTTTTCGGCTCATTTGGAACAAGAGCAAACAAAACTTTGTTCGTGTTATATTTGTTTTCGGCTAATTTGGAACAAGAGCAAACAAAACTTTGTTCGTGTTCGGTTCATCTATATATCAAGCGCAAAAAAATTATTTGTGTTCGGCTCATTTGCTTAGCAAATGAATCGAGCACATGCTACTTAACGACCCGAACACGAACTGCTCGCGAGCAATGAACCATTTTGACAACACAACTAAATATAGATATATATTTTTCTTAAGGAAGTTGTACGACAACAGGATTTGAGCATAACTCATTACATACTAAATATAGATCATTTTCAAGACTACATCATCTGAACTCCCACTTCATCTTTATTTAGTTCCAAACTCCTAGATTTTTGGAATTCGACTTATTTAGTAAATTGATGAATTTAGATATCCCACAAAACTTCTTGAGAATCATGTCCACACAAGATACCGAGCTGCAATGCCTATCATGCGTGAGAACTTCTGATGTAGCTCTTTACTCGGGAAGCGAGTTTTCTTTTTGGGGTGGTTTCTCCGAAGTTTGATGCACTGCTAATTTTGACAAAAAAAAAATACCGAATTTTTATTTAAAATTATTAAAATATATTATTAAAAGCTTTAAATTTAATAATGTATATTTAATTTAATCATGTATATTTATCAAGTCTAATTTCCTCCATTGAATTGTATAGCTGTGAACAGTATCCTAATTCATTAATAATTAGGAGTTCATAAAACTACCCAAACAAAATTATACCATGAAATTAAACTTTTTAAAAATACTTAATTGATATTTCTTATTAATTAATGAAGATAATACCAAAAATTTTAAAATAAAAATCCCGCCAAGTTCGTGAAAACGAAAGGCAAAAAGAAAAGCTTAGGACTGATGTAGACTGCAAGAATTCTATTATAAATCTAAATGCCTCAGTTTGCTAAATTTGATGAATGAGGCCTGTAACTAAATGCCCACAATTTAAGGCTGACAGCGAAGCCACGAGAAATTTTCGGTTATATCATCCAAAAAAACGATCTTTAAATACCGCACCCGGATGCAAGATCAAAAGCTATGGCAGAACAGCTTTTTAAACAACCAAATATATGATTTTTTTAATTTAGGAAAAAAGCACAGGCTGGAGAAACCATTTTGGTTTCTCAAAAAACAGTCATAAATGACAAACTTAGATAGTTTTAATTGTACATACGATAAGAAGACAGCAGTAGACATAAAAGAAGAGCCCGGAGTCGTCCCTCCGGCTAAATCTTCTGCCAATGCCGGGCCACCAGAGGCTTCACCATTGAAGAAGGGACCCTGGACTGCAGCAGAAGATGCAATTTTGATAGAGTATGTAAAGACGCATGGGGAAGGTAATTGGAATGCCGTTCAAAAGAACATCGGGCTGCAACGTTGTGGCAAGAGTTGCCGTCTTCGATGGGCTAATCATCTTCGTCCCAATTTAAAAAAAGGATCTTTTTCTCCAGAAGAAGAAGCTCTTATACTTTATCTTCATTCTCAGCTTGGCAACAAATGGGCTCGAATGGCTGCGCATGTAATTCTCTCTTTCTTTTGGTTTTAGTCTTCTCTTAAATTTATTTTCAAGTAAAGTGTATTATTGTATCTGATAGTTGCCAGGCAGAACAGACAATGAGATAAAGAATTATTGGAACACGAGAATCAAAAGACGGCAAAGAGCGGGGCTTCCGCTTTATCCACCCAACATTCAGCAGAAAGTTGATGGTCAGAACCAAAGACAGGAGACGTTCACCAACATCCAAAAGCATTGTTTGGCAAAAAATTATAATCCTCATATTTCTCCAACTATGACCACTGGATATGATAATATTGACACTGTTAATGGCAACACGAATTACATCGGAAACTTCAATGATAACGAATCACCTCAACAACTTCAATCATTTTATTGTCCTGTCAAGATGGAGCACAGTCCAACAGCATTATTACCTCCCTATATTGAGAATCAAAATTGGCTTGTGCCACCGCCAACAACAACGCTTGTGGACTACAACAATATATATCATCATAATCAATTTAAAGGTTCACAATTTCCTGAGAAACTATACAATCAAGATGTTTTGCTTGAGAACATGCCACTCAGCAGTGTTGCTGCAATGGAGCCTCCATCTCCACGGCTGCCATCAACTCCGAACTGTAACGAATCAATCATGAATTGCTTCTATCATATGGATAACTCGAATAACTCATATAACACTTCAGGTGAACTCTTTTAAGTTCGCTCTATCTATTATTGAATAGGCTACTTTGAAATTATTTTTTAATGAAATATAATTTGGCTTTAATTTTGTAGTCTATCAAGTCATGCAACCGGCTCACACAATGGTAAATGAGGATGTATCATGTCCAGCGGACAAGAATAAAGTTTATACAACCACGATACTAACAGGTAAGTTCCCTAACAAGTCTGAGTTAAGTTCATCATCAAAGATGATTGATGATGATATATGCAATGAGATGCAACAGCCAGCCTCGAATCCCTCCATGAATTATGATTATACCATGGGACCGGCCGGTTCATGGGAGCATATGTCAAGCATTAATTATCGACCAAATTGTTAACACATTAGATCACTAGGTCAATATAGTGACCGCGCTCTACCTTAATAGTTTCATCGACTAAATTCTTGGATATGTAGTGTTTGAAATTATAAAGTTGTAAGTTGAGCTTAAGACTCTGTTTGAGGCAGCTGCATCTTACCCGACTGTTTTGCAACTGTTTGTAAATAAATGACCATTCTGCCCCTATTAAGTAATGCTATTTGTAACAAAACAATCTTTGACTATATATTCAATAATAAAGAAGCATAAAAGTAAATTTTATTTTTTTAGAACATATCTATGTTTTGAATCTTTTGATTTTTTATCCCTAAAAACCTCATCAAAATACTTTCATCATGCTTAATTAGCTAGACACAGTTTTTCATTATAATATATAAGATTGGAGATCAAATACACAATATCGATAATGTAACAATGCTTAATTTGGAATTATAAGATAAATGGAAATTAAAGAAAGTGTTGATAATTTTTGGTAGTCTATTTTGAATGTGCAAAATGCTAATTTTTTTGTTACATTTAGAGGTTATTGAATTTGAATTTTTTCGAGAGTTACACCCAAAAAATAGAGCATAAGACCAAAGGGGGGATAAAGATAGGGGGAGGAGAAGTGCACAGTAACTTGCCCCACAGGGGCAAACTGTGGTATTCTCGGGCTCTTACAACCCTTTTATATAATCAAGTTTTTATGAATACATGACGCGAGAGAGAGAGAGAGAGAGAGGGCCCAAAAGTACCCCTTACATGAAATGATCCTATATTTATATGGGATAAAGTATAATTTGAAGTTGTTACATTTCTAACCCCATTTTAATGAGAGTTGTATAATTTATTTTGGGTATTTTACATATGTGGGCCTGTGACCGTAAGAGTATTGGATTGTCCAGACTGTGTATCATCAAGGCTACTGGTCGTTTGAATTGCGGGTTGTCTACACAGCTGATCGTTCAAACGGCGGGTTGGTCATCCATGTTGGGTCGTCAAAGTTGAGTCAGTTACCACTTCTAGGTCGGTCCTCCAGGCTAGGTAGTCAAGGTTAGGTTGGACATCCAAGCTGGGCCAGTCATCTAGACTGGGTCAGTCGTCTCTTTGGGTTGATCAACCCTCTAGATCGTTCATGCCTCTAGGTCGATCGTCCAAGATAGTTCGTTTAGGCTAGGTCAATCGTTCATGTTGGGTCAGTTGTTCAGGCTGAGCCATCCATCTGAGAGATTCAATCTAATGTATTTTTTTTGTACATATTTAGTTCTTCAGGCTGGGTCAGTTGTTCAGGCTGAGCCATCCGCTAGGCATTACTGGTCTCTGGCTCAGTTGGTGTTTTTCAATCGACTAATGTGGCCTGACCGTCAGCCTTATATATATCTTAAAGAAATTTTCTTTTTTCTGAACATTTTTAAGTAAATGTAAATGAAATTCTATGAAGATAATTTGAGCGTAAAATAAAGTGGAGTTCTTTGTCATTTTTCACCTTTGTTTTGTGTTTTACTTCTTAACAGGTGTTTAATTTTCCTTGTGACAAGCATTTTGCTTATGATGATTGATGGGTTGACTTTCCAAGGGATTCTTTTAATAATTTTTGTCAAGTTATCGCCCGAATCAAGTCTTACACCATGTATGTCTCATTTGATTGGTCATATCATCACCTTAGACATGTCGTACCTTTTTCTAGACGTATTAAGTAGATCTTATCGTTGACTTCATGAGGTTAACCGTTTATACTTTTGGGATTATTTGCATTCCACTCATCGCAAATCTTATCACTAATGAGTATGGAACCATCTTAGAGCTTGACTTGTGCCAAATTAGGAGACCTAGGCTTTTAATGCTTGGGAGTTGTTGGGTCGTTTCTTGTGTAGTTTGTCAATTGGACATTAATCATCATTGTCAATTTTATTGCTTGAATTGAACTTCAGCCACTTGGTCGCCCGAGTTTATTAAGTGTTGGTCAGATTTTGACCACCTATTACACATAACTTTTTAATTTTCTTGAGTGTTGGTCAGACAGTGGGTCATCCTGGGTTAGTTTCCCAGGCTTGATCATCCAGTTTGCGTTGGTCATCCATGTTGGATTGGTCATCCTTCAAGTTCGGTTGCCCAGGTTGGGTTGATTGTGAATTGGCAGGGCCAAGCTTAATCCTCGTTTCTTCTCCATGTACTGCTCATTTTCTTGTCCGCGACATGATTCAAACTCATCGCACATTTTAGAATGTTGAATTTAAATTTGTCTGTGAATCACACTCAAAGAATAGAATGTAAGATAGGAGAGAGAGAACGAGGGGAGAGATATAGGGAGGAGCAGTGCATAGTGATTTACCTCTTTGAGGCAACTGGGTATTTCTGGGTTCTTTTGGCTCTTTTTTAAAATCAAATCTGTATGAAGATAAGAAAAATATGATAACCATGTTGATTATTAACTCTCTGTGCAACTGTTATTTAGATGAACGAACTTTTCTTTTATTTATTTATCATGAATCAATATGATGTATGTCAGAAGATTTGCAGTAGTTGAGTGATTTTTAAGCATTTTTGTATTGCACGAAAGCCCAACACACACTCAAGTAATTAAAGTGACAGATATAGACAAAAAAATTTTACATGGAAATCCCAAAAGAGAAAAAAACGCCAGACCAAGTTCAGTTAAAATGATCCACTATACGTTAATAATTACATGTTTAGGCTATAGTCCCACAAAAGGGAAATGATTACAAAGTTCATCAAAGTATACTATTCATAGAACATAGCAATTGTTACACGACAAACGAGAGCAGTCATAGTTGGGAGAATTTGTCGAGGGCTCGGCATACCATCTGCGATGCACATCGCTGCACCGTGCTCAAGATGATGCATACTTACTTTGTATGATACTTTGTTACTTTAAGGCGTCAGGGGTTACTACGCACTCCACTTCATTACTTCGTGACATTGGTGGTTACTCTGCACAGTGATTTATTACTCTACAATGTACATCTTAAACTCTGAACGGAGCTTCGCTACAATGATCAAGAGGTGGCTGACAGTGGTGAACATCAATCAGTGAGCGACAATCGGCGGTTGCAGGAGCGAAAAGTATTCATCAGCTCTTCATTCCGTAATGACAATGAAATTTAGCTTCTCAAACCAGCTCCACGTCCTATCGGCCAGTTTTTTCTCAAAATATATATTTTATTTTATATGGATATAATTTGAATTTTGAAAATAGTATTTTAATTTAAAAAAATGAAACTGAATAAATCTTATACATCTAATAGTTTAAATAGTTGAGCAAAATACCACAAGTGATATACCATCTCAAAAGATAAATGTATTATTTGTTAATAGACTCAACTATTAAACTAAGAAATTTATGACTTTATTTTGGTCTGCAGAAATAATGACCGACAATTCTTTTGTATAAATATTAGATATGGTGTATATTATTTGGGTTACTAATTCTCATATAAAGACATGCCTCTATAGTTACTTATATCTTAAGCAACTGAAATTGCTTAAGAAAACTCTCGATTAAGATCGAGGTTTCGTCTTAAAACACCGAAGAAACCTCAATAATATCTCAAACTAGTCTATGATTTAACTTTACATCTTTGAAAGAAAAATTATAATAATGTTTAAATCCTGCAATTTTTTTAGACATTTTGGACTTACGTTTGCACGATACACGCAAATAACCCGAGAGGATAGGAGGGTTTACGTTGTACCAAACTGCAACCTTAAAATCCTAAAAGAATTTAGGACTTATATCATATAACTTACAATCGTACAAAGGTCTAAAAGATAGCATGAGGAATTACGTCGTGCCCGAAAAACTGTCTCATAGTCCTAGGGGTTTATATTGTTTACGACTGAAAAGTTCAGTTGAGGATCGACTTTTGCTTTGTGACGGTCTCAATTGTTGCCCAGAGATTAATCGTCACTTGATTGCATCGTCTTCTTGTCCTGAAAAAAGGGGAGAGAGGAGAGAAAACATGTCTCAAACAACCTACTCTAGGTTCTTTGTTTTTGTTTAGTTATTATGAAACAACTTTAAATTATGTTTGTTATTGAAAATATTAAAATGGGGAAATTTTATTTTAAGTTAAGCGAAGTCGGTCAAGATCCTACGATTCTGACGTTCCGACATCACAGTTAATTTTGAGTTTACTCACTCTAAATATAGTGTTAGATTTATTTAGACTGGATAATTATTATTAGCAACCATGTGTTACCTCCTCTTAAAAATTCTCGTAAATCGAAAAGGATGGATTTTTTTTTTGTTATTATGTTATTATTAATGTTATATCTTAAGTGAATGGTTTGTTTTGGTTAAAATACATTATGCTTTTAATTAAATGAATGAATTTTGAAAAATTATTAAAATTATTTTGTCAAAGAGTATGTTGGTAATGTGTTATAGGGTTCCAATCCTAAACATATGTCCCATGCCTGCCATCTTAGGCTTTCATTTCACATGTCAGAAACACATTAAATAACAATAGAACAATAATGTCATATGTATGACAGAGCATATATAGTAAAATGTAGTAAAGTAGAAAAGAAGGTTTAATGCGTACCTGCCGCCTCCAATGACATTCAGAAAATTTGCAATTATATATTACAGGTTTATAAAAAATTAGACAAATATTTGAAATTTATATATCAAAAACTTAAGCATGTTTATTTGCATAAAAGTAAAGTAATCGACATATGGGAAATCAGAATTGGGTATAAGAGTTTAAGTTGGGGAAGGGCTCAGCTTTAGAGTTTTCAACCATAATAATCCCACAAACAAACAGAGTATTGAGGTACATAGACCAATACTGGGTAGAAGCTACTATCAAAACACTTCATACCAATACTGGGTAGAAGCTACTATCAAAACACTTCAAGGTTGCGCAATTCTAAATCCCTATCACATGACTAACAAGTGAAAATGTAAAATGTAGTATCCAAAATCTACAAAGAAGTGTTTAATATTTCTTTATGTGGTGTTTCAATGGGTAATGTTTTTTTTTTTGTTTTAATGTTTCCAATAACCAATATCACAAAGAAATGGTTCCCTAGTCATATAAAACTAGGAGTTAGAGGTACTAGCAACCCAAAAAATGAGAAGGGCAACTATCAGTGAGTTACTAACAATTAGCAGTTCCAGCCCTAAACCTTCACGACGTCATTAGGTTAAGGGCGTGGTCCTATTCTATTAGCATGAATATTGGGTTATACATCATTGCCCATATCCCACATACTTTCCAACTTGTAGGCCACTCC